CTGTGACTAATAATGGAAATACAAAGTCACTAGACGTATGCTGTTTTGTCTTGGTCAAGAAGGGAAAGATATGCTCATGAAAAACCACATCACGTGACTCAATCATTGAACTAGTAGCAATATTATATAGTTTAATACGAGACTGCAATGCACTCATTTGATGAATGATACCTAAAGAACTATAGAACGATAACATATTAAATTTCCTGGCCATTATCGATTCAGATGACTTTAATACGAGAATTATATTGTTTAAGAGTGAAAGTATGAAAATTAACAGTCAAGGAACGAGCTTCTAACTTAGCACATGCCAAATATACCCACGTGTTTCTTGAGTAACCATCAACTAAGGTAAAAAAATATCGAAACCCATCAAAATTTGGAACCTTGTAAGGTCCCCTTATATCAATGTGTACCAATTCAAACATGAAAGACGTTTTTGACTCACTAGAAATGAAAGTCAATCATTTTTGTTTGGCGAGAGGACAAATAGAACAATCTAGCTTACAAACCATATCAATCTTAAAATGTTAAGATGCAACACATTTAATCCTAAAAAATGAAGTATGACCAAACCAGTAATGCCACAAATCAAAATCTTGAACAATAGTATCAAAACAAACAGAGGAACAATTGTAAATTTGGAGAGATAGATGAAAGTTGTAGAGAGATAGAGATGGATTGCTGGGGTCAGAAGTCAGGAAATTAAGACCTCAAATCTCTCTAGCTTTATCAATCATCCACCGAGAAACCACATCCTGGATGAGATAATGATTGTGAAAAAGGTCAAAGAACAAGATGAATCTTTGGTCAATCTACTTACAGAGACCAAATTAAAACCAAAATTATGATTCATTAAAACATAGTTAAGTACTAAATGGTCATACATGGATATAGTCCCAACTTTGGTAACATGAACCCTTGTACCATTAGGAAGAGTGACAAGCAAAGGGGAAACTAAGGCATAATCAGTGAAAAACTCTAAGAAACTGACAACATGATATGATGCCCCATTATCTACCATCCAAATATAAAATGAAACACGTTTAGCAAAATTTGCAATAACATACTTTCCATTCTCCATAGTCAGGTGAGAGCCTGAAGAGGAGGCATGAACTTGAACACTATAGAGTGGATAGCTTGTGTTGGATCCACTTTCAACTAACCCAAAAGTAAGCAGACTGATGGAAGGACCAACAAGTAGACTATGAGATCCAAAAGACAAATCCTAAGGTTAACTTTGAGGCTGTGCTGGCGCCACCAGTAAACGATATTGGTGCTGAGTTAGAACAACAGAATCAGAGGGAACACCTTAGTTCTTAACATAAGAAATATTAGTATCACTAATCATAACATTCAGCCTAGCACGCGACTTGTAACCGGGAGGATAACCGTGTAGCAAATTTGCAAGAGCAAATCGACTTATCTAAATAAGGATATCTGTTAGTTAGGCAATATCATGATAATTTGAAAGTACAAGGGGAAGAGCTTAGCTCTTACTTTCCTATTCCATGCATGTGAATCCAAAAATTATAATACTGTGAAGAAATACAAGGCGAATGTAATGGTTATAAAGTTGCTCCTAGGTCTTAATCAAAACTCTCAGCATGTTAGATCTCAGATGCTTATGATAGACCCTCTCTCAAATTTGGATGTTGTATACATATCGGTTGTTCAATTGGAAAGGCAGATGAATTACACTAGTTTAGCTTGGGAAAAGGGTATTAAAGCTTTTGCTCTGGCTACACCTATTGTTAATCAAGAGGTTATCAAACACCTAAAGTCCACACAATTCTCAAAACTCGCACAGAGGAAAAAAGGAGTGGATTACTTTGTCGTAACTATAAAAAGGATAATAATGTAACTGAAGTTTGCTGGAACCTCCAGAAGGAAAAAAAAACTCGAAGAAAGGAGGGGTGATTTGCTTTTTCATTGCTGTAAAAAAGGATAATTATGTAACTAAAGTTTGCATGAACCTCCAGAAGAAAACCATAGGACTCAATGCATATGGAGTTGGTGGATTAGGAGGAAGGAGTTTTGTTGGGAGTATTGATACCATGCCTTATACTTGGAGGTTCACAGTATAACCCTCCAAGTGCTGGAAGTGACAAAGGAAGCACAATGGTTGCTGCTAAACAATTTTTGCGAACTTTACTATTTATGTGGAAGAACTTGGGAAGCTGTCACGCTGAAGCATCTATTTAACCAATAAACTCTCTACCAGGCCTTTGGAGCTAGTTATGGTTCATCCAACAGATCTTCTACGACCTCTCAGGCATATTTAGTGGCTGATAAGAAAAATATGAAGCATCCAATGACAATTAACATCTTTACTATTATAAAAATGAGTATAACAAAAACTCTTAGATCATATATATTAGAGCTAGTGCCATATATTTTGTGACGTTGACCTTTTTTTAGTTGCAAACGTGTTCAGGATATCCTAGTTACCTTACATAATGGATAGCAAAAACACACACATAGACATAGTCAAGTTAATTTGTGAAATCTTACTGTTTTCTACTTTTGCATACAATCTAATTTTTGTCACTCAGTTAACTAAGTGTTCACCAGCCTCACCCTTGTTCCAGTCCCATTTTTGTTTTGTACATGACCTTGTCTCTCAATAGAGGACTTGTTCAAGCCGAGTAGATAAGGGATTGTACCTTCTTGAAAACTTACGTACCCAACATTCCAATACATCAGCCTTTTCCACTCACACAGGTACCAACACACATAAGATTTTGTAACATATGAGACTAGGATACCCTTATTTTTCAAGACTTCAAGAAATGCAGAAGAATGGTAATGATGTAGTTTTACCGATTTCTAAGCATCAGGAAGTTTGTCACTAAGCCTAACAGAAAAGGTTCCATTTCAATAGGAGCTCCAACTAGTGACTTAGTTTTTTTTAATCTTTTTCATAATGATATTTGGGGTGAGTGGATGTTGTTTCAATTGAAGGTTTTTAAATACATTCTTACTATGTTGGATGATTATAGCATATGTTTGTGGGTTTTCATGATGCATAGCAAGACAAAGGCCAGCCATTTAGTCCAATCTTTATGTGCTATGGCATTAACTCAATTTCAAAAGAAAGTAAATGTCATCATATTTTATCAAGGAGAAGAGTTCCATATATATATATTAGAATGAACATGGCATTATACATGAGTTATGTTAGGACAACTTAACAAAATGAGAGAGTGGAAAGAAAACATCCACATTTGTTGAATGTGGCTAGTTCTCTAAAGTTCTAAGTGGATTGCATGTTAGCTTCCGGAGTTATTTTGTTATGCATGTTGCATACTTAATAAATAGAACACCAACTGTCATTCTGAAAAATAAGACTTCCCTTGAGATTTTTTAAAGTGTCTCTAGATTACACTAGTCTTAGAGTATTTGCATGTCTAGCTTATGCTATTCATCTTGATCCCAATAACACTAAGTTTTCTCAAGACCTATGAAGGTTAATTTTCTTGGGTATCCCTTTGGGATTAAGGGGTACAAGTTGTATGATTGTATGACATGGAAGATGATAAGGTTTATGTCAACAAAGATTTGTTGTTTTGTGAAACTATGATAGAACCATTCATCAGACAACACCACACACAAACTTACCTAATCTAAACATGATAGAACCATTTCTAACACTTGATCACAACATTCATGAACCAATGATCCATAATACTATCCAGAATCACCTCATTCATCCTCCAAATCTCAATCCAAGACACCATCTAGCATGCCTTCCACTTTTCATCACCCTATTACAAATTCTACTCCAAAACATGACTCACCACCCATTACTCTAAGAAAGGCTCATAAAGAAACAAAATATCATGGATGGTTAAGATAATTCCACAACAGTTTACTTACCAGCACTACGACTTCAAGCATAAGAACATATCACATCCCCTTTCAGATTATCTTTGTTATGATAATCTAAATCTTTTCAATAAAATCCTTTGTTCTTACTATTATCACTGAACCTGAATCTCCAACCTAATCATAAGCTTGTAAGGAAACAATATGAAGAATAGCTATGGGTGAGAATTGATGCTCTAGGAGAGAATATAACTTGGACTTTGTAGATCCACATGTTGACAAAGTTCCAATATGAAACAAGTGGGTCTTCAAAACCAAGTAAAATTCACATGGAAGTCTGGAGAGGCATAAAGCCATAATTGTGTTGAAAGGATGTACAAACATTCATTGAATTGATTATTGGGATACCTTTATCATGTGGCAAAACATAATTCAATGAAGTTGCTATTGGAATTTGTAGCTTCTAGAAAATGGTGCTTATGTCAAATGAATGTAATCAATGTGTTTCTTAATTGATATTTTGATGAGGAAGTGTATATGATATTACCTCCAAGACCGGATTAAAGACCAGATTACAAAGGGAAGGTGTGAAAATTAGGAAAAAATCCCAAAGTACACTAGTAGTTAAAAAAATTCCCAAAATACATAAGTTATAAATTTTTTTCCAAAACTACACATGTTTGTCATTCACCGTTTTTGACAAACGCAGTGAAGATTATCACCGCGTTTGACAAAAACGGTGAACCAATAGCGAGTCAATCACCGTTTTAGAGTAAAACGGTGAATAATTCACCATTTTATTCAAACGCGGTGAAGTTTAAACCGCTGCTGTGGGCCACGATCAAGCGACGCGGATCGCTGACGTGGACAAACGTGGTGTATTCACCGCGTTAGACAAACATGGTGAATACCCCGTGTTTGTTTGCGTCAGCAATCCGCGTCGCTGACCCACTCACCGTGGCCGTTGGATGCGGTGAGGCGCGGATCGTGGTTTTCTTCCCAGATCCGACGCCTCACAGCACGCCACGTGGCTCGATCCGCGTCTGTCGCCGTTTTTGAAAAGGGCGATGCATTCAACGCCTTTGAGGGACGCGGTGAATCCTCCCCAACAATTTGCGCAGACCTCTCCCTCCTTCCCTATAAATAGAACCCTTCCCCCCTCTTCCAAATCACACCACCACTTTTACAATTCTTTCTCCCTCAATCTATCCGCTCTAGTCTCGTTCTAAGTATGCTTTGTGGTTGCGGATAAATCCGATCTTCCACATCAGAAAGAATTACTAGAGTTTGACCCTAAAGCCCCCGTCCCGCTAAGCTCCCGTCCCTTACAAACCCGAACCCGTCGAACCTCTGTCCGGCTTCTGCCAAAATATGGACGAAGAGGCTCTTCGTGTAGGTTTTTTTTTGTGTTTTTATCGTAACAATTTGATTTTGTGATTTTTTTTATCAAAACAATCTCTGATTTCATTACTTTTTTTATAGATGGGTGCCGAGATATACGATCCTCGATTGTATATCCATTATGGGCCAAGAGATATGAGACTCTTAACCGTCAAGAAGCTCATCGCTCCCGTGCTATTTGGGATAACAATCCGGTAATTCGATGATTTATTTGCTTTATTTTATTATTTTCTAAGGTTTTATTTTGCTTTATTTAAACTAACAAATTGATGTTTTTCCTACTTTGAAGGAATCACTTATTCCCGTCGTTCATAAAGGGACCACAAACTTGCCCCCTTGGCATCCACGGTTGGCGCCCTATATAGAGAGGACCCGGTTGGGTATGTTGCGCCATTTCATGCGGACCGAAATCGAGAACGATCTGCTTACGGCAATGGCGGAGCGATGGCGTCTCGAAACCCATACGTTCCACCTTCTGGAGGGAGAAATGACGATCACCCTCAAAGACGTGGCGATCCTCACCGGGCTGCCGATTTCTGGAGATGCCATCATTGGTTCCACTACCAAACCCGAAGGAGTTTGGGGGCCGCTCATTCTTGCTGAATTGGGATTTGACATGCCGACCACCACACCAATTCAAGGACGGGGGCATCCACCGTTGAATGCGGGACAAGTGTTGGTCCCGTGGCTGGTAACTCAGATCCATAATGAGGTGGAAATCAATGACGAGACTCTGGAAGATCAAGTGGAGCGCTATGCATGCATCTATCTCATTGGTCTGGTGGGTGGATTTCTGTTCTCCGACAAAGTCAAACCGGTGGATTCAAGGCATATGGTTGCCATTCCTCTATGGTGACTGAGACGCAATCGGGGAAAAGAGTTGGGGATCAGCCGTGTTAGCTGGCATATACCGGGATCTGTGCACTTGCTCGAAGGTGGGAGCAAAACAAGATGGTGCTGCGATATACCATCATCATAAGAATACTGGCGAGAATGAGTTTCACTGACCGCCTCGGTCTCAACATACACCTCTGCAAGCCGCATCCAATTATCGCTTAGGAACTGTAACATCATCGTAACCGCGTCATCATCGTTTATGACAACTTCTTGGTACACAACCCCGCCAGCACTCATGTTTGGATACCGGTAACTAATTTTGCCAACTCTCGTCTGTCCGCTCGTACAAACCCTGTATGCACAAATATCACGGAGTTCGTGAAAATTGAATCGCGACTCAATTTTCAGCATAGTGGGTTCACCGTTCTCATAATCAATCCCTATGTCAGAGTTTGTCACCCTTCCATTCCACCGAATAATAAGCCGAAACTTCTTGAATTTACCCATATCTACAATTTACAATAAGTTAAACTATTAGCTTAAAGACAGTAAAATTAACCAAAACCATATTGTAAGACTAATATTACTCCATCTCATAACTAACGTAACATAAATTCAACTAACTAACAACAACATAAATTCAAAATTAAGTACTACAATTGCTACGATAAGTAATTCATAACATAACAATATAACTACTAAAAACATCATTAGGCTATATTATGAAAATTAAATCATACTATAACTACTAAAAACCCATCATTAAGCTATAATACGAAAATTAAATCATACCGAAAATTCCTGTTCTGTGTATTATGCTCGGTTTTGGTTGTTGAAATTTGAAGAGGGGGGAGTGGTTATGTTTTTATAGTTGCTGGTGGCGTGGTATTTATAGGTAAACCTGCCTACTATTCACCGTTTTTGTCAAACACGGTGAACACTATCACCGCGTTTGTCTCAAACGGTGAACATTAGGTAGCTATTACCTAATTTTCACCTAACTGGGGTTGGAAACGTGTGAAATACTCACCGTTTTAACCTAGAACGATGAAGGTATTCGCCATTTTGCCCTAAAACGGTGAAATATTCACCATGTTTGTCAAACGCGGTGATAGTCTTCATTGCGTTTGTCAAAAATGGTGAATGCCAAACATGTGTAGTTTTGAAAAAAAATTTATAACTTATGTATTTTGGGTATTTTTTTTAAGAACATGTGTACAGTGGGATTTTTTCCGTGAAAATTAGGGGAGGGGGGAATCCTTTATGGTCTCAACAAGTCCACCTGACAATGGTTTGTTAAGTTGACGAAAGTACTTTTGAAGCTTGGTTTCACTCAATCTTATGTTGATTACTTAGTACTCAGCTTGACTTAAGGAGAAAGTATGTTGTTCCTTGTGATTTATGTAGATGATATTATTTTAGCCAGTGATAGTTTGGAGTTGATCGCTATTAACAGATTGCTAAGGGAGAATTCAATTTCAAGGGATCAGAGATACACAAAAGTAAATATGTGATATCTCCTGACTCGCATGAAACTACACCACAATTAAACCCCAATTAGAGCCCAAGTTTTTAAACTCTAATCGCGTGCAGTATAGAACAAGTGTTTAAATTGTCAACCCGGGCCGGTCCATGTACCACTACTTCAATCTCTTAGGTTGTTATCTAGCAAACAACTTTTGGGTTTAGAGCTAATGAAACTACAAACTAGACAAGCAAAGAAAAGAAAATTGAATGAAGGAAAAGTCTAACTAAGGGAGCTTCACCCATGAGTTGCTTCCCCCTGACTAGCTACCATGACTCGTTGGATTGCAAGGAGTCGTGTGTCATAGGTGGTTGTGAACCGCGGGGGTGAGCAACTAGTGATCAATCTGTCATGGAATCAATTCACTAGCGATCGATTTGTCGCAGGATCGATCCACTCACAAAGTCTAGGGGAACCACTAGGAGGAGCAATTAGTGATCCATTTGTCACGGGATGGATTCACTGGAGGTCGATTTGTCACGGGATCGATCCTCTCGCTCGGTCACTAGTGGTTTCCTAGGTCTCTCCCTCAAACCGGAGTTTGAGCGGCTTAATCACAACTAACCTAGATGCAAATTGGTAACCACGAACCGCAGAGAGATGCAAAACTGAGGTAAGCATGAAAGGTCATGTCACTACCATCTCGATTTAGACAATTGGTAGTTGACTTACTCCCTCACTCAACTCTAAGTTCGGATGGCTTAATCGCGATTAACCGATTTGCTTAACTCAATATTGAGGGTTGCCGTAACTTAACCTAGTTTAGGTGGCTTAGAAAGCGGAAGGAAAACCAACTCGATTAAGTCCCCCTTGGAAGGGCGATTTTCCTCTCTAAGCTAGGCTAAGGTGGCTAATTAGATTGCTAGCACCGACATGCACAAACCTAAGGGTACTAAGCACAATTATGCACAACCCTTAGATTGCTAAGCACGAGCATGCACAATCACCATGAAAACACCTCTAATACTTAAATTGATGCAAACCCACACTTAATCATTCAATCTAAACAAGTAATTACACAGTATTAGTTAGGGATCTACAACACCCAAGAGAAAAGAGTGAGTTTCTAGAGAGAGAGAGACAGAGAGAGAGAGGGATTGCAAATTTGAGCTCAAGATCTTCTTCTTCTCCTTGTAGGCTTGAATCTTCCACCCAAGCCGCCAATGATGCTCCAAGATCACTCTAACACTCTCTCTCTCTCTCTCTCTCTCTCTCTCTCTCTCTCTCACACACACACACACACACACTAGAACTCCCCTTTGGTGTTTAGGTTGAAACCGTAAAGAAAGAAAGTGTTTCTTCTCCAAAAACCAGCTCTCCTCTTCTCCTTAAGCTCCCCTCTCCTTTTATACCCAAATCAGGCTCAGTTCAAGGTCTTAGAGCTGAGTTCAAGGGCGTGTTGAGAAGTTTACGGTCTTAGTTCAAGGACGCGTTGAGAATTTCACGATTTTAGACCTCAGTTCACGGCCGTGAACATTGAAACGCGTATGTGAACTCAGTGATGGACCAAAACGCACCGCTTCACATCCACAGTTCACGGTCTTAGTGACCGTGAACTCAGTCGACGTCAGTAACCTCTGGATTCCCCATAGATGCTTTGCGGTTAACGGATTTTGGCTCCAGTTCACGGTCCTGTAAGACCGTGAACTCCAATGACAGACCTTGAACACAGGCTGTTTCCTCCTCTTTGCTCCTTTTCTTCCAACTTTCGACTCCGAGGCTGGTTTCACCAATTAGATCCGAAACATGCTAAAACACAAGAAACCTAGCGTAAAACCACCCTTTTAGGAGCAAAATTGCCACAAACGCCTAAGGAAAATGGGGGTAAAACATGTACAATTAGGTCCAAATCACTCCTCCACACTTAGACGTTTGCTTGTCCCCAAGCAAACCAAGTACAAAACAAGGTAAGCTTACAAATTCTTTTTCAACACAAATTTTGGGGAATGTCATAGGGCACAAGACGAATGAATCACAATGGTCATTTGACACTGAACTATGGACAAAAACAAAGTAATATTGGCAACCACCACAAACGACATTCAACTGTATTAAGATTGTGCAAAAGAAGAGTTCTAACATTATTCATCAACCAACACACAACATGCCTCGAAGACTCACCAATCACAGTTACTCATGCATGAAGATCACATCATAGGAACGAATGATCGAGCAACCTAGGTCCTCACCGGGGTAAAAGAAATGAATAAAACATGATGAAGAATCGGTCACTCTCGACCAGTGGGGCCAGAACCATTTGATGCAAAATATGTGCATAGTCACGCTCTATCCTAACGTCCCTTTACCATGATGATAGCCTCTAAATGTTAGTGCTCACAAGATGGGTGTCGTTGTTAGCTTGTCCGGAGGTCTTGGACACATGTGACTGGCTAGGGTCTAGGACATGGGGAAAAGGCTTTTTGGGTGGTGGCAAACATAGCACAAGGTTCCACATTTCCATCCTAAAACCACAAAAGGTTCTAAGGTTTCGATTAGAGCCCTCTCCTATACTCAATGGCCACTAGCATCGGCCAAAAACCACACTTTCCTCGATTCCAAACCACAACCAATCACCAAACCATTCACAACAATCTTTCTTGCTACCTTTGCTATTCAATTTCAAGCACAAGAATGTGGTAGGCAAACAACATGTAAGTGTTCCTAAAGTTTGCATGCTAAGCAACACTTCTAAGAGCATGTTCAACATTTATTATATTTGTGGTGGTCACTCTCTTTTCTTTTTTTCCCCTCTTATTGATCTTTTTTTTTCTTTTCTTTTCTTTGGGGGCTAAAGAGAACTATAAACATGCCACATTTTTGAACTTAAGTAACAATGCTCACTTTGAAAAACTACCTCCACACTCACTTCACCTCTTAGCAAAACTATACACAAATCACTCATGTGGAATCTCGTTTAAGCTTAAATGGTATGAATGGAGCTTCCAAACACAAGGGTGACTCGATAACGGTGTAGACACGATGCAAGCAGGGTCGTTCTATCTAAATCAATCAAGCTCAAGTAGCGAGAGCTACCTAAATCGAGAGCGACCCTTAGACACACGGCTCAAAAGGGTTGACTAGGGGATGATGAGATCGGGACGGTCAACATTTGGGTCGTGGACTAAACCTATGCCTCCATCTTCCTCGCTAGCAACAACGTGAATGCTACACATCATGTAAAGGGGGATCTATCACACAAGAACGAAACGAACGACACAAGTCTCACATGGCTACCTAGGTGCTCAATCATTCGTTCTAACTCCCTAAACTCGATGCATAGGCAACTGTGAAAAGCAAGTAATCAATTCAAAACATCTATCGGTTCACAAACACATGAGAAATGAACCTATGCACAAGCCTAATACAATTCTTAGTCATCATCATAGGTTGCACACCATCACAAGAAAATCATCCATAGACCATGCTAATAACCACGAGATTCAAAACAAATCACCACAAGATGCCACTATGATCATGCAAATGTAGAAGTTGTTATGCTTGGAGACCTCAAATTTTGAAAATTTGGGCATACAACTAGGCTCCAAGCATTCAAAACCACACCAAACATTCACACACACATGCATAATACACTACCCCCCCCCCCCCACACTTAAGCTCGACATTGCCCTCAATGGCGTAAAAGAAGGGGATAGAACAATGTTACCGGTTAAGTTGTGAATGGTTGTGCATGGGAGCGGAGGGCGGGTGAGATCCAGAAGATCAAGGAGACAGTTAAACGCCACCAAAATCTCTTCATTGATCGTCTTATTGAAAGGAAAAGAGATGCAAATCGTTGATGGTTGGGTTGCCTCCCACCAAGCGTTTCTTTAACGTCGTGAGCCGGACGATTGCTCTTCAAGTTTCGGTCCACCCAAGAACCTCCTTGAAGTTGAGGTTCTCGTTGGTGAGGTGATGTCTCAAGTCACGAGCATTGGACGAGTCCATGATTGAGCGTTCGTGTGGCTTTGAGGCTCCACCCACGAGACCTCTTCTTCGTTCCTTCTTCTTTCTTCTATTTGCCCCATACCATGTAGTGCATCATCGATTTACCACCATCGCATCCACAAAGAGGGATCGCCGATGGTTTGGCCTTGGCTTGGCAAAAAGCCGCAAATGGGTCCTTCTCCAAAAGCGCACCGAGGTCGGGTGGAAAGCATTGGTAGCACTTGTAACTTGTGGATGCTTCATCCACCACGACCTCGTCTTCATCTTGGACCTCACTTGCTCCTTCTACATCTTCCGCAACCTCCCTTCCTTCTTTTTCAATTTCCTCCCCTTGGGAGCACTCGATATCTTCCCCCTCTTCAATGCTTTCTTCCTCCTCTTCAACCTCTTCTTCCTCCTTCCCATTCATGTCTTCAAGCACGCTTTGGAGGGCAAGATGCCATGCAAGCTCATAGAAGGGATTCCCTTGCTCCTCCACACTCGTGTCTTGGTCTTTAAGGTTGCTATCGGGAAGGGGTAGATGATGAGAATCGTCAATGCAACCTTCTTGTTCATCGTCACCACAGGAGCTCTCCGGCGTGAGTTCGTCTTGCTCCACACGGTTGTCCTTGCTTGCCCCTTCAACCTCCTCTTTCTCCTCCAATAATGAGAGGCGATAGCTTTCACAAGCTCGTGCCACTTTCTCTTCTAGTGTCAAACCGGGAGGAGGGAGGGGTCTGAAATCCATGTCGGAGCTCGTTCTTCCAAAATCATCATGGCTCGCCTCTTCGACTTCCTCTCTTTCTTCCAATGGTAGGAGGCGATTGTGAGCAAGTTGTGCACATGCTTGCTCCATAAGCCCTCCTAGCCTCTCCGTGCGTCAACGAAGCTCCTCCGCCTCCTGAAGAAAGGTTGAGTCGATAGGGTTGGCGATTGGGAGGTCCTTGCTAGAGCACCCTTCATCTATGCCCCGGGCGAATCGCTCCACCATAAGCTCTAATTTGCTCTTTGGCTCTGGTAGTGGAGTGGCACATGGTCTCGATGATTGTCCCATGAAAGCTTTCAAGATCAACTCCAACTTGGTTTTCTCCTCGGGTTGTGGAGGGAAACCTTCTTGATATGGGGAAGCCTCTTCATACCCCCAATGGTATGGTTGTTCTTCTTGAAAGGAGAGTTGGTAATAGAACCAGGATCCTTGGCTTCCCCCTTCTTGTTCACTCCATGAAGCTCCGAGGTACCCCCATCCGGGGGGTTGTGGATGCCCCCACCTATTGTAGAAGCCATTGGGATCCATGATTCATAACCTACACAAACAAAAACACAAAAAGAAAATTAAAAAAAAAAACACAAACCACCCTTCAAGACAATGAGTGGGTAAACAAAACACAACACGGAACACAAAACGAAAACAAAAAGGCAAGATAGAAAATGCTAGAGTAACACTAAGCAACCCTTTCAAAATAATGGACTGCGGTTCCTCGGCAACGGCGCTAGAAACTTGACTCGCACGAAACTACACCATAATTAAATCCTAATTAGAGCCCAAGTTTTTAAACGCTAATCAGGTGCAGTATAGATCAAGTATTTAAATTGTCAACCCGGGCAGGTCCATGTACCCCTACTTCAATCACTTAGGTTGTTATCTAGCAAACAACTTTTGGGTTTAGAGCTAATGAAACAACAAACTAGACAAGCAAAGAAAAGTAAATGAAGGAAAAGTCTAACTAAGGGAGCTTCACCCATGAGTTGCTTCCCCCTAACTAGCTACCATGACTCGTTGGATTGAATGGAGTCGTGTGGCATAGATGGTTGTGAACCGCGGGGGTGAGGAACTAGTGATCAATATGTCACATAATCAATTCACTAACGATTGATTTGTCACGAGATCGATCCACTCACCAAATCTAGGGGAACCACTAGGAGGAGCAACTAGTGATCCATTTGTCACGGGATGGATTCACTGGAGGTCGATTTGTCACGAGATCGATCCTCTTGCTCGGTCACTAGTGGTTGCCTAGGTCTCTCCCTCAAACTGGAGTTTGAGCGGCTTAATCACAACTAACCTAGATGCAAACTCGTAACCGCGAACCGCAGAGCGATGAATATGTGGTCAGAGACTACAATCTCAATTGCCAAATCGAGGTAAGCATGAAAGGCCGTGTCACTCGACCCTCTCGGTTTAGAAAATCGGTAGTTGACTTACTCCCTCACTCAACTCTAAGGTCGGACGACTTAATCGCGATTAACCGACTTGCTTAACTCAATATTGAGGGTTGCCCTAACTTAACCTATTTTAGGTGGCTTAGAAAGCGGAAGGAAAACCAACTCGATTGAGTCTCCCTTGGAAGGGGGATTTTCCTCTCTAAGCTAGGCTAAGGTGTCTAATTAGATTGCTAGCACCAACATGCACAAACCTAAGGGTGCTAAGCACAATTATGCACAACCCTTAGGTTGCTAAGCACGAGCATGCACAGTCACCATGCAAACACCTCTAATACTCAAATTGATGCAAACCCACACTTAATCATTCAATCTAAACAAGTAATTACAAAGTATTAGTTAGGAATCTTCAACACCCAAGAGAAAAGAGTGAGTTTCTAGAGAGAAATTTGAGCTCGAGATCTTCTTCTTCTCCTTCCAAGCTTGAATCTTCCACCCAAGCCTCCAATGATGCTCCATGATCACTCTAGCACTCTCTCTCTCTCTAACTAGAACTCCCTTTTGGTGTTAAGGTTGAAACTCTAGAGAAAGAAAGTGTTTCTTCTCCAAAAACCAGCTCTCCTCTTCTCCTTTAGCTCCCCTCTCCTTTTATACCCAAATCAGGCTCAGTTCGAGGTCTTAGAGCTGAGTTCAAGGACGCGTTAAGAAGTTCACGGTTTTAGTTCAAGGACGCGTTGAGCAGTTCACGGTCTTAGTTTAAGGACGCGTTGAGCAGTTCACGGTCTTAGTTTAAGGACGCGTTGAGCAGTTCACGGTCTTAGACTTCAGTTCACGGCCGTGAACATTGAAACACGTCTATGAACTCAGTGTTGAGACCAAAACGCACCGCTTCACATCCACGGTTCACGGTTTGTGCTTAGAGTTCACGGTCTTAGTGACCGTGAACTCACTCGACGTCAGTAACCTCTGGATTCCCCCTAGACGCTTCGCGATTCATGGATTTTGGCTCCAGTTCACGGTCCTGTAAGACCGTGAACTCCAATGGCAGACCTTGATCACATGCTGTTTCCTCCTCTTTGCTCCTTTTCTTCCAACTTTCGACTCCGGGGCTGGTTTCACCGGTTAGATCCTGAAACACGCTAAAACACAAGAAACCTAGCGTAAAACCACCCTTTTAGGAGCAAATTGTCACAAACGCCTAAGGAAAACATGGGTAAAACATGTACAATTAGGCCCGAATCATCTCCTGATTGCATGGAGTTTTGTTTGGAGATGCTAGTCAATGCAAGTTTTCTCAACAACAAGCCATCCAAAACTCCTCTTAGTATGAAGGCTATGTTATCAAGCGAGGATGGAGATCTTTTGGGTCAAGAAGAACATGAAACCTACAAACGTTTACTAGGACAATTGTAGTATCTTACCACCACAAGACTAGATAGAACATTGTCCTAGTTTAAAGATAATTCAACCACTGTCAAAGCTCTATAAAAAGTGTTGAGGTATTTGAAAGAATGTCCATAACATGGTCTATGATTTTTAGTCGATTATGAATTTGACAATTACAAGGTACAATTGCTTAGATTGGGCTACTTGTCCTGACGCATGGAGGTTGGTTACAGGTATCTTCCCTCATCACATGGAAGAGTAAGAAACAAGGCACGATGTCTAGAAGCTCCACAGTGGCATAGTGCAGGGTTTTTGCACAATTATGTTGTGAGGTTCAATGGCTGAAAGCCTTGATGGAGTTTTTCCAAGTACCACATCCTACACAGCACTCACGAAAAAATGAAGTCTAGCCTGATCACCTTACAACATATACCTACTGATTTTCAGCCGGTAGACATTTTCACAAAAAAGATTGTCAACCGATCGTTTCAAGTTTCTTTTACGCAAAGTGGGTGTACTGAATCCTCAATTCAAATCAATTTAATCCAACTCTCTATAGCCAGGGTATCAATTTAATCCAACTCTCTACAGCCAGGGTATCACGAAAGTGCTAGCTATCCCTGTCGGGAATTACTACGTACTAGATAATCAATTCAAATCCTACTGTCGTAGCTCAATGAATTAACTATATAGCCTGAAGATCGATATCCGATTTAAGACCGCATAGCACCTTATTTAATCCACTGTCGCTTCGATAAGTTACTATGTCACAAGAAATAGGTTCGGTTAATAGGGTTTCACTGTCGCTAATAACCTAATTAACTACGATTCATTGTATTGGTGGCCAGTCAACACAAAACATTAAGTAATTTCATGCAATAGAGATTGGAAGAAAAGAATCATGAATCAATCTATCAAATCAAGAAATAGCTACATCCTATGGTATTTCCCCCAGAAATCGGGGTTTAGTTCATGACGAAATTGAGATAAATCAATAGGGTTTTGATCATCATGTTCTAAATCAACAATATACAACTAGTTCGAGTCATAGAATCCAACCAACTAATCGCTCTCGTTGAACTCAGCTCAAACCATCTTGGAAGAAGACGATTGTCGATTGTCGATTGCTCGCGACGCAAGCCTTGCTCGCGTCCAAACTCCAAAAATAATCGCCGCCTCCAAAGAATTTTCCGCGCCCAGCAATAGTCGTCCTTTCCCAGAATAATTCCCCTCGTCCTCTTCCAATTCCCTCCGTCCCAACAAGCTGCCTTGCAATTAATTCCCCTCAAGCCTTCCGCCCAGCCTTCTCCCAAGAATTCCCTTTTCCTCCGCCAAATTAATTTTCAGCTCCGAGACTTTTTCTCCCCCGAGCCCTAAAGGAGATCGCCACCAAAATAAAGTTTCCTGGCCCAAATAGAATTTTGTTCTGTCCCCAGCCTTTGTGTCCAATTCTTTTCCTGAGCCCAATTACTTGTTGTGCACTCGCTTCTTTTTCGTGCTTTCTCCACATGTAACATATCAAACTCATGGCACTAGGCAATAATGGTTTTTCAACCATTTCCGGGTTAGCGAGCCCTAAAATAGCACCAATTGGCTAAAACATACCATGAATAATCACATAAAGTCCAAGAATCCGATATATTAAAGCCGAATATCACAACCCCACACTCAATTGTTGCTTGTCCCCAAGCAACGACTCAAACAACACAAACACAAAATCATCCAAAACAATGACACATTAGAGACTCAACATTCAAAGCAAAACACAAAATTTCCTTGTACTCTTGTTGTAATCAGTAGTTTCTTTCTCAACGGACAAGTTGTGCTTTAATGGTCATACCTTTCACCCCACACTCAAGTTCTTTGCAACCATTACCATTGACTGACTCAAATCCATCAAAAACTCAAATAGCAACACTCAATTTCGATCGTCGGTAGTGGGGGATGAACAACTTATGGTGCAACAGTTATTAGGAGAATCTAACCACATCAGTGAGGTGCATATCTCGTGAAGACAGTCTGGCTTACTCACACCAATCATAAGCAATTAATTAAGCATGAGTCTCAAAAACTAATGGGGGAAGCCTTTCGCAAACATGATTTTAACTTTAAGCACATCACTACCTTTTATGACAAAGAGAGGCTTTCTCTCTTTCTGCTTTTGCTTGCCGAGAGGTCGTATTTAGTACAAGTGGGATTTGTTTCTTACTACCGGTGACCGAGCAAGAGCAATTTCTGCCACTCGCATAAGGGCTTCTTTTAACTCCTTTTCCTCGGTCCGTGTGGAGGGTCATTGCATCCTCAAATGGCACTTCACTCAACTGGGGATCGTACTTGATAAGCAACATCGTACGGTCGCGAACCGATTCTCAATTGAATCTTTCCTAATCCCCATGTGCAATGAGTGATTGCCTCACACGATTTTGACATTTTTACCCACACTTTAATTGTTATGGCAACTTTCTTATATTTTACTTGTCAGGTAGTGTTTTCTTTTATGAAGATACAGTTCACCCCATCATAAAACCATCAAAACAGAGAGACTCGTTGCCAAATCAAAAGCTCACAATAGATGCAAGTAAGCACGGTATCCAAACATGTCGAATGGTCAATGTTCTCCACCTAACTACTTCACCAAAAGTCATTACACTATCCTCCCAAAAGAGAATGTTGCTAAAAGAGTTTGCTAATTCAAAGCACATCAAGTCAGTCAAAACATCAAGCTCATTGTGAAGAACTATGCAATTCAACACTCGTGGGGTGATTTCGATGATTTCATTCAAGCACAAACTTATTTCACACGCATCACAGTCATTTACATCATGCTACCACAAGAGTACAAAGTTTTGTTTTTAATTTTTCTGATTTTTAGGTGTTTTTTAGCCATTAGCTTTGCACAGGCAGACTGCTTTTTGCACAGGCAAACTGCATACGGTTTGGCTGTGCTCAACCTAATGGCAAAAAAATTTTTTTGGATTTTTTTTAATTAATAATTTTTTTTTACCGACCACATGACAAAAGGAACAAACAATTTCTTTTTTTTTACTGACCACATGACAAAAGGAACAAACAAACACTAAGACTCGCCACCCCACACTCAGGATGGAACATTGTCCCTAATGTTCAACTCCTAATCTAAACATGCACGGTTTGACACAACGAACAAGAAAAATAAAGAAAAGAAAACTTACCTTGGGTTGCCTCCCAAGAAGCGCTTGTTTAACGTCCTCAGCCTGACGTTCATGGAGCTTTCAACCAATGGGTATGAAAAGGTATCCAGAATACCCTCCCGAGCAATGATAGAATGCATAACCTCCATCCAACATATGAGTCACCTCTGCAGGGCCTGGTGTTCGAAAATTTGGTATGACCTTCTTAGTTGGCATGTTGGACCCTTTAGTGAGACGTAGGTGGTATTGCAGCGCCTCAAGCAAGTACTCTTCCTGTTTCAATGTCAGTGAAGAAGGAATAATAACAGGAAGATTGAAATCCTTACCCAAATATCTATACTTGAGGTGACCTGGCAAGGATTTCTACCCTTGCTTTGATTTCAGACTTTGAGCTGCTAGGACATGTGATAGTTCTTTGGGTGGTCCACTATCACAGGAAGAGGAATTTTTCCTTTCTCGAGTACCACTTTCAAAGTCATCAAATGCATCGTGATTATGATCAACTTGAAAGACATTAAAAATTTCCTCCTCCTTACCTACTCGGAATGTCAGTTTGCCTCTCCCAACATCGATGAGTGCATCTCCAGTTGCTAGAAAAGGTCTCCCAAGAATGAGAGGCACTCGCCGATCTTCTTCCATCTCAAGAATCACAAAATCTGTTAGGAGAATAAACTTCCCCACCTTCACCAATACATCTCCACCACTCCTTTTGGAATTTTTACTGATCGATCGGCCAATTGGAGAGTGATCCGAGTAGGCTTAAGAACATCTCTCAATCCCAATTTCTTGTAGACTAAGTATGGCATCAAATTAATGCCTGCTCCTAGATCACAGAGTGATTTATCGAACTCTCTACCTCCAATGACACATGGAATGGTGAAGCTTCCTGGATCATCCCTCTTTTCTGGCAATTTATTCTGAATCACGGCACTACATTCAGAAGTAAGGGTTACCTTCTCCAGATCAGCCCATTTGCGCTTCTTAGTCAGCATCTCCTTTAAAAATTTAGCATATGTAGGCATCTATTCAAGTGCCTCCGCCAACGGTATATTGATATGAAGTTGCTTGAAGATATTCACAAATTTCTTGAAGTTTGGGTCTTCCATGGGCTTCATTAACATTTGAGGGAATGGTGCGGGAGGTTCATAAGTCTTTACCTCTTCGTTCTTCAATTTTTCCACTTTTTGAGGTACACGTGCAGATTGCTTTTGCACAGGCAGATTGCATGCAATTTGCCTGTGTAAGTCAGATTTTTAAGCTTTTGCACTTTCTTCCTCTACAGCTGCTTTCCCCTCCTTTTCTCCCGGATTTTTCTTGCTCTTTGGATCCTCCAACTACTTCCCACTCCTCAATGTGACGGCTACAACCATGGCGTCCTTTGGATTTCTCTCAGTATTTGCTGGTGATAACGATGTAATTGTACATGTTTGCGCCCTAGTTCTTATCCGTTTGAGGGGCATAGTCGTGTGTTTTGGCCTATTTTACGCCGGATTGTGCTAATTTGTCATGTTTCAGGTCCCAGGTGTTAAAGGGAAGGCTAAGCGCGAGTTTCGGGGCATTCGGAAGTCATTTCGTCAAGCTGGAACCAAAACACGGGCAGCCTAAAGCATTACACGGCCGTGTTCTAGTGGCCGTGCTTTTTATGCCGAGAGCTGAGCTGATTACACGGCCAGGGCCGAGACAAAGCACGGCCGTGTTCCACCAAAGCACGTCCGTGTCCAACGCGAAGCACAGCCGTGTTTATCCCAACTGCTGGCCGTGTAATTAACACTGGCCGAGACACTGGCAGGCTCAGGCAAAGCACGGTCGTGTCCTCGACCGTGCTTTGGCCACTGATGCCTTTTTAATTTTCAGCCAAAGTCAAGGGGATTCGAGTTTTAGAGAGAGAGATCAGTTCCTAGAGAGAGAAAGCGACGAACAAGAGTCTCCAAGCGCCCTAGCTTGATCTTCAACACCATTGTAGGCTTGTTTGAGCTTGGAGAAGTGCCGATCAACGTCCAGGAGCAGGAATCCATCCTTCACAGTATGAATTCCGCGTCTGATTCTGCTTTTGCTTTCTTCTCCATGGAGTAGTTCTCCCATTCATCTGGGTATGGAGAACCCTAGATTTGTATGTTAGGTTTGATTGTATGAACCCAAGTACTGATTCTATGATTGATTATATTCGATTGAGGTTTGAATGATTGAATGACTTGAATCCTCATCAAATTCCTGTTGTTTCTGCTTTAACCTAGAATGAGAATATCTGCCTAGGTTAATAGAGTATCCTTGATTGAAGGTAGGGAGTTGGTGACTTTAGTCGAGGAGCCAACTCACTATTCTGTACCGGATTTACTCCGGTAGTGGAGGTTTTGTTTGTTAAGGCCTCAATCTGTTTACTCCAGTGGAGGTTAGTCGCCCGCTAGAGACTCAGATTGAGAGGGTCTGAAGACCTTTAGTCGAGACTTCAGGCTGTTTAAGAACCTTCCGCAGTATAACCATCATAGAAACTGAACTTGGTAATTACAATCCGGCTTAACTGCAGTCTAGGGGGAACCATATCCGGGTGACCTCTTTAACCTGAATACAACCGTTTACTTGCTTTGTTAGTTTGATAGTTTAGACTTGCATTCCAGTTTCATTGCTAGATAACAAGAATTCACCGAGTAGTCATCAAATCTAGGACCCGGGTTGACATATAAACCTAACCCGCTATACTACGTTTTAGGAAGTGGTTTCACTTGGCCAATTCCTAGGGTGACAGTAGAGTCGAGTCAAGTTTTTGGCGCCGTTGCCGGGGACGGCTAGGTTGTTGAAGAAAAGTGATTTCTGTTAATTTAGCTTTTCTTTTTGCTTTGTTTGCTTTGTCCCACTTGTGCCTTCTCGGGTTTGCTTCCTTGAGTGTGTGCAGGTAGTGCATGACCCGTAGCCAGTCAGGAGGTTTACTTCCGTTGAATCCAGAGATTGAACGCACCTGTCGCCAGCTCAGGAGACAACAGCAAGCTAGACTGGCTACAGAAGAGCGCATAGACGGCCACGTGAGCAGTGATTCTGAAGAAGAGTACGAGATGGAAGACTACAATCAACACCAGGGGAATCCTCAGCAGGCTCCCCCGGTGAATCAGGTCCTGGGGAACAACCCCATACCCTGGGATCATGGAGTTCATCATCCACCGCAGCCGGGTCCCACCTTGGAGTACTACTACACTCCTCGGATTGCTGACATCCGCCCGGTCATCCTCTACCCGCCTATTCCAGCAAACAACTTCGAGATCAAGCCATGCTGGATTCAGCTTATTACATCTTCCATCCAGTTCCATGGCTTGAAGGATGAGGAGGCCAGGGTACATCTTTCCCGTTTTCTGCAGCTGACGAACGGGTTCAAGCTGAATGGTGTCCCGAATTATGCAATCCGCCTTCATCTCTTCCCCCATTCTCTGGCGGGGAATGCTAAGAGGTGGTTGGAGACCCAGCCCCCATTGTCCATCACCTCTTGGGACGATCTGGCTGACAAGTTCGTGCACAGGTACTATCCGGCATCGAAGACTACAGAGATTTAGCGGGAGATCACTCACTTCCGCCAAGAGCCAGATGAGTCACTTCGTGATGCTTGGGAGCGGTACATGGGATATTTCTGGCAGTGTCCCCACCATGGCTTTCGTGATGCATTCACAGTGGGAAATTTCTACAGTGCTCTCTCTCTAGACAGCCAGAGGGTGATTGAGTCTCTATGCCTAGGAGGGGATGTTCTCACTAAGACTCCACCCGAGCTGAACCAGATGATTAATACATTGGCTGCCAGAGATCATTCCTGGGGGCAGAGCAGTAGAGGCAGACACTCTAGGGACCGTAGTGTGCACGCCATGGAGACCAGATCCGGGCTCGAGCAGCAGGTAGCTGAGCTAGTGTAGACATTGAAGCAGCCCAACAGTCTTATTCCGGGCAGAGGTTTGGCTACACCTCCAGTTGTTCAATGTCAGTGGTGTGAGAGCTCGAATCACCTAGTGGAGGACTGCCAGGCTATGAGGGAGTCTACCACACCCCAGGAGTAGTTGGCCTTCATTGCCAATGCGCGGCGCCTCGATCCATACAGTAACACATATAATGAGGGGTGGCGCCAGCATCCCAACTTCGCCTAGAGCAGCAACACCACTAAACCACCTGGTTTCCCAGCACCAGCAGGTGGTTTTCAGCAGAGGCAGCCCTTCCAGGCTCGCCAGGGGCCAGACCCACAGCAGCAGCCCTACCAGCCTAGGCAGGGGCAGCCATTCCAGCAGCCCCAGCGCCAGTTTTCCGAGCCAGCAGCAGCTCCAGCCCCAGATGACAGGATGACGAAGCTGGAAAACATTCTAGCTTCATTCATGACGAGCACTCAGGCGACTATCACGAGGTTGGACCAGAGTGTAGCCTCACTGGAGGCAGGTCAGAGGAACCAGGGTGCCATTTTGCAGGATCTGCAGACCTAGGTGGGCATCTTGGCCCGCCAGAACACCACCAGGGCACCGGGGACTTTGCCTGCCACCACTGCCCCGAATCCTCGAGATCCTCACCAGAATCAGCAGCTGGATGCCATTTTTACCAGGAGCGGTAAGACCATATCTGCTGATCCTGTCCCGGCCAGACAGGAGGAACCACTGCCTGCTTCAGCACTTCCAGCCGACGATGCAGAAGTTCGAGTGGAGAAGGAAGCCCCTGCTCCCAAGCCACAACCAGTGGTTAAGGAGCATGTGCCCCAGCTTCCCTTCCCCACTCGCCTACATAAAGACAAGCTGGAGACTGAGTTTGCCAAGTTCATGGCAATGTTGAAGCAGCTCAACATCAGCATACCGTTCGTGGAGGCACTGTCGAAGATGCCCAAGTATGCCAAGTTCATGAAAGATCTCTGCACCAACAAGAAGAAACTTGGGGATCTCTCGACAGTGATGCTCAGTGAGGAGTGTTCTGCTATCCTGCAGAACAAGCTGCCCGAGAAGCGCCAGGATCCAGGGAGTTTTACTATCCCTCTTACTATTGGCAGCATGCATGTAGGCAAGTCCTTGGCGGACCTAGGCGCTAGCATTAATGTCATGCCATATAAGTTGTACAAAAAGCTAGACCTAGGTGAACTTAGCCCTACTAGGATGAGCATTCAGTTAGCTGATCGTTCTATCGTGCATCCTAGGGGTATCATTGAGGATATGCTTGTTAAAGTAGGTGCATTCACATATCCTGTTGATTTTGTTATTCTTGATATACATGAGGATGTGGATGTGCCTTTGATTCTAGGTAGGCCATTTCTCGCCACTGCCAAGGCACTTATTGATGTGCATGATGGTAAATTGATCTTGCGT